CCATTAATTACTGTGGCCGCTCCTGTCCCGACTGCTTCGTAACATATTCATCAGGTACGATGCCCGTCCAGCAGCCTCAGCCGGGGAAGTAGGCTATTGTTAGTTTAAACTGTAGCCTTTCAAATGTTCTTTATTTTACTTTTCATCCAAGATTGTTTTCCTCTCCTTTAAAACTGTTTTTCTAAAAATAAAACTCAACATAAATGTTTTAAGATTAGATTTGCGGGGAAACAGTTTAATTTTCACCATATGTTGCCCCAGCGGCTTGTAGATTTAAAAAAAAAAAAAAAAGGGGAAAAAAAAAAAAAAAAAAAAGGGATGTTTTCTACTGAAGCTACCAAAAAAAAAAATCTAATATAAAAATGTATTCTTCCCAACGCGTTTCCCTCCTGTGGGTCATTTTACGGCCCCCAAATAAATCTTTAAGGTTGCAAGGAGGGGGGAAAAAAAGTGCCCTGCTGACGGAAAAGCAAGTCCTGCCATGATAATGTCCTTTATTAATATTATAGATGTGTAGTGTGCTGGATGGATCAATCATATCCATTCACAATCAGGATTAAGAGAGACTATTTTAATGAAAATCTATTAGTCTCTCATTTGAGACACGGATGTTGCTTAAATCAATAAACAGCATAAAAGAGAATACGACGCAGGTTTCTAAATTAAAAAAAATCCCATCTATGAAATGTGTTAAGACGTCTGTAAAATCCTGAAACCCTCGATCGATACTTATAAATATTTAATGTTTTTTTTTTAAACACAAATTGAAAACCATTAACACTGCATCCATTCTTATTATTAAAACAAATTGTCCTTGGAATTATGTGCTGTGGAAATGGAGCCAGATTGAAAGGGCATCCTCTGAAATATGTTTACTCGCTTTCATGTAAACCAATAAAAATCTGCAGGAGTCTGTAGCGTGAGCAGAAAGGTTTGATGTACAATGTCCATGATTACAGTCTCTGAATTAATCACGAGAGAGGGAGAGAGAGGGAGGGAGGGAGGGAAAGAGGGAGGGAGATGGAGAGAGAGGACTCAGTTATCTACTCAACAAAATCTCGCTCTTTGGGTCAGCGCTCAGTAAAGCGTGGATTAAACCGATGATTTTTCTGTTTGCTTATTTGCCCCATTCCGACCAAAATAAGCTGAAGCGTGGGGAGGGAGGAAATCGGTTTCGCCCTACGTCATACCATGAGTCAACGTACAAATGTAAATTCCTCTTATAAATATGAAATCCAATACTTCGCCTTGGAAATGCTTAAAGCTAATGCAACGCTTAAACTCATTCATAATTATTCCTCCCGCTTAACTCGTAGGAAAAAACAAAAAACAAACAAACACAACAAACAAACCCAACGGTCGAGAGGTCCCTTGGAAAGCTGAATAATAATAAAAAATAAAGAAATAGCCCATTATTGATATCACGCTAAATAAACGCTCTTCTGCAGTACCCATTCCGGGGCTGTTCCCGGGCAGGGCGAAATTCCCTGTTCCCAAATATCCCCTCACACTCCCCCCGCCTTCCTCCCGCCCCTGTTTTGAGCACCCCGGTCCGGACACCGATGCGGGACGGGGCGGGAGGGAGGAGGAGGAAGAGGAGGAGGAGTACTGGGGGGCACAGTGCCACGCAGGTGACCGGGGAGGCCGCGCTGCCAGGGCAGCCCCCAGCACATCCCCGTCCTCCGAGGGACTGGGAGGAGTGGGGGGGTGTCAGGGAGAGCGGGGTGCCGTCGGAAGGGGGTACCCGGGGTGCCGAGCTGGGCAGGGGGCGGCTCTGAGGGGCGAGGGGTGACTTCTTAGTTGTGCGACGGGGTCCCGGGAGCTCCGTGCCTGCAAGGGAATGGGCTTTGGACGGCAGCTCCATCCCTCCCTCCATTCCTCCATCCCTCCATCCCTCCATCCCTCCATCCCTCCATCCCTCCATCCCTCCATCCCCCTCCCCATCCCGTTATCAGGAGCAGCACTAAGCGCGATTCCCCCTCCCAACCCGCTGCCAAAGTTTGTAGCGGGGTCAGAAGTACCCAC